CTCCCAGAATTCCCCAGCCAGCCTTCTGGGAGTTGCAGTCCACACATCTTCCAGCTGCCAAGGTTGAGAAACACTGCCTTAAGGGTTCCAATACTGGCTGTGAGCAACCATTGATAGCTTTCTTCTCTCTTCATTCACCCAGTTCCCTTTTAAAGCCATCTCTGTGAAAGGCCAGCAGGGTTGGGGCAAGTCTCATCTCAGGGAGAAGGATGCTCCAAAGGGCGGGCGCCACAATCACTTCCTTTACACATCCATGTAATTTTTTTGGAAACAGCATGGAAGCGGTTTGTCTCTACCTTTTTTCTTTCCTTTTTTCCAACTTCCCAGTCTAGCCTATCGCCCTTGGATGACCTAGTGGTCTCTCATCCAAGCACTGCGTTCGCTTCCAATCTCAGACAAGACCAGCCAAGAGCAACCACCTTCTGCCTTCTTTTAAACTTCTCCCTTCCATGCCCTGTATACAATTTTAAGTAAGTTTCTGGCAGTAAGCCCTTGGCGCGCAGCAGATGTTCAACTCAGCATCTCCAGAAACAACCCTCTGACAAGGTTCTCTCTTTGCCCCATGTGCTGAGCAGACCCAGGTGGTTCAGTCGAGCGACGTGTCTGAGTTCTCACAATGCTGCTGATCCCTTGGGGGCATTCAAAATGACGGCCCACGGTATTTCAGCTGGCTGGGTCAAGCCTGTCCTGGCTGGGCAAGACCACGGAAGCAGGAACTATGCAGATTTCAGGAAAGTCTCTTTAACGTTCATCTGGGGGAAGTCCAGGATCTTAGAAATTGCAAAAGGGATTTCCCAGCCTCATTTCTAGCAAGATCATTAAGGGGGAGCCTCTCGGAATGATACGAAACGCTGCTTCCCAGGTTCCTCGTCACCTGAGCTAAGTTGCCCACAACTCCCTTCCGATCTCTTGATCGTCCGTCTCTGCTGTCCCCTCCCGTTCCTTGCCCAGCCTCCCCATGATCTCTCCCAGGCTGCCACCGTTAGCCACGGGCCCCATCAACAGCGTCCTTCGCCCAGCGTCCAGCTCCAGCTGGTGTCCCCCGACCGCTCAGCATCCCCAGAAACCACCCCCTCACCTGCTGATCGGGCTTCTTCGCCTCCCGCTGCCTTAAGAGGAAATGCTCCGCCAAGGCGACCGCATGGAAGCAGCTCTCGGAATCCCGTTCCCGGATCCAGCTTAGCATTTCCGGGGGCAGGATGGCCAGGAACTGCTCCAGGATCACCAGCTCCAGCATCTCCTCCTTGGTGTGCCTCTCGGGCATCAGCCACTGGTGGCAAAATTTCCGGAGCTGGCAGTAGGCCTCCCAGGGGCCCTCGGCCTCCCCGTAGTGGAATTGCCGGAAGCGCTGGCGCTGGCCTTCAGAGCTGCCGGCCTCGGGGCCCCTGCTTTGCGCCTCGTGTCTTCCACTTGGGATCCTGAGGCCTCCGCTGCCCAGAGAAGGTTTGGGGGCCTTCTCTGCTTTAGCCCAGTCGGACGTGGCCGCTGCTCCTTCCAAAACGGCCGGGCAAGCCTTGGCGTTGTGCTGTAGCACAGTCTCTGGCAGCTCAGACGTGTTGAGAAAGTCCTGCCATTGCACTTCCCACCGCTGCGACACCGGACCCTCGTCTGCCTCCTGCTTAATGTGCTGAAGTGGGGGGGACAACTCGCCCAAGATGGTCTCGGTCTGCCCAGCCAGACAGGCTGGTCTCTCAGGGTCCAACTCCTGCTTCTCCGTCTTGATTTCTGGCTTCACGTCCAAGTCAACGATGACTCTGTGGAGCGCCAAGGCTGACATCGCCCCTTCCCGCTCCAAGGACATCTCCTCTTTCCCCGATGATTCTAATTCACTTCCGACCCTCCATCTCTTCCGGCAAAGGCGGAGGAAGACATCCAGCTTTGGGGTTCTGCTTACGGCAAGGCGAGGGGGGCGTCCTGATGCTTCTTGCTCCCCCAAGACCAGATTCTCTTGGGGACCACTTCCCTAAAAAAGTAAGAAATACAAAGATTCATGAGGGCAACCAGCAGGACAGGAATACCCAAACAGGTGCCCTCCAGATGTTCTAGGTTTCAGTCCCCATCATTCATTCCCAGCCAGCAGGGCTAAGGGCAAGGGATCATGGGGGATGCAGTCCCCAAAATCACTAGCATCAAATATCTCTGGCACAGAATAGCGTGCTCCTGGTTTAGGGCTGGTGTTTGGCCTGTTTGCTTCTGGCTAACTGGGCAGCAACGTGAAGCCACGGAGCCTTGCGCTGCAAACACGGTTGCTTCTGCAAAATTCCACGTTTTTAAAGTCCTCCAACAGACAGACCCACTGTTTTCTCCTGAAAGCTATTTCTCCCTTCCTTTTTCCCCCTCTCTTGCTGGGGGACGTTTGACGCTCGTCAATCAGTGACCCCCCTCCCCATGAGACAGCCGGCAAAAGAAGCGATGAACAGAACGAATCTTAATGCTGCAAATATTAGCATGAATTGCCACGGAGCTCCCTGGGTTAAGGGGGGGGGGGCGGCCTTTCTCTCATTCCGACCTCCCTCGCAGGGTTGTGGTCAGGGCAGAATCCCCAAAGGACCACTCTTGACTTCCCAGAAAGGGAAAACACCCCCCCAATATAATTGCAATAGAATCTGTTATGTCAGGGCTTGCATTTTAATGAAAGATGCAGTTCGCTTCTCCCTTGCTCCCACCCCGCCCCTTCACTTACGGATCCGGAGTAAGGCCTGAGCGCTTTTCCTTCCTCTGGGAATTCAGGCGGGGAACAAAGGCGCGCTAGTGGAAGAACCCCCTTCCCCCCCACTTTATTCCTAAATAACCTAGGATTGCAATGAAAAGCAAGCAAACCCGGTTGCAAATTTGCTGAAGAACAGGACGGGGAGGAGGGGGGTTCAATAGAAAGACGGTCTCCCCGCCCCTTTCCCCGAGGCCCTTCCTCTCTAGCAAACTAAACTGAATTTTAACTGTTCAAGAACCGGAGTTCCTGCCTCCGATTTTGCCGTAGAGGCGGTTGTTCAGACGATCGGTGGCGTTGAATTGCAGCAAGCCTCCTGGCTAAAAAAAAAATATATATATTTGCTTGCCGATTGCAATCAGCGGGGAGGGGCTTTGCTT